AGCGCATACAATCACAATATTTTCTGCCTTTTGTTCAAAGAAGCTCTAGGTCTTGCGCTTCCAACGCGTGCATTCCAAGCGTGGTTGTAATATGCACTTGAAAGAAGCGAAATCATGATCAGTTGACGTGCAGATTCCATTCAGACTCGAATGTCAACAAGGAACATTTAGGCGTAGTTATAAAAATAGACATTAATCCAGATAAGACGCTGATAATTAGATCATTGGTTCAACCTGGGTCCACGGATTAGTTCTGCTTTTATATTCCCTTAATTATTTCTAATATGCAATAAAATAATAACAAAATTTACGTGTGAAGTAGCAAATTTCAAAAACTTCTATAACAGAAAAATCCATTAGGTAACAAGTTTGAATGAAATTTTCACTACTCAAAATAATAAAAAAATAAAATAAAAAATCCGTCAACCAAATAAGCTTTTGGGCGACATAAACAATGAAATTACAATTAAAATTACTATTCAATCGTGGGTTTTGGGTCATCCGGTTGACCGATTTGCCATGGTCAATTTGGTCTTCTCTGGTCAACATTTTGTTTGGTTAATTTAGAGACTCGGACTAATTTATTGCCCCGGTCGAGGGTTCAGAAATGAACCCGATCTATCCGGATCGATTTTGTATTATTATGCATTTAAGTGTATGTAATTCTAATGACTTGACTTAATCCATGGTGAAATTTCAGGTTTAATTTTTACGTTCTTTATGACATTTATAAAGTATAGTTTATTTTAAGTATAGAAGGTTAGAGTTGACAAGTCACGGATGAAAACCTTAACTAGTTGTATTAAAAATTGGCATGTCTACCTCTAATCTGTTTTTTTTTAACTGTTTTATTAACAACCGGGATTAAGTTGTAATCCCTAGTCTCAATTGCTTATATGTAAAATCAAAATATTTGAAGTACAAAGTATCTATCTATGTAGAATTAAAAGTTATATTTTTCATTTAATCAGATTCAAATATTAATTTCAATCACACATATACAAGTACTAACTATTTATTAATCACAAATTTAGTGAAATTCAATAATATCTCTCTTAAAAATTACTAACAATTTTATCAGGACACCCCCAAAGTATTTATAAAAACAACTCTAAAATGATCTTTTTAGCAATTAATTTATATAGTTTTTATTGATAACATAATATACCTACACTAGAAAAAGCATTTATGCTCAAATTATGAACAACAATTTTACAAAGACTTTCCTTTTTAAGAATTAGGGAGTAGTTGAATTTCTAATGTCTCCTCGTGACACACAATAAATTGAATTACTTGCAATTTTCCATAATGTGACAAACATAAAGATAAAGATTGTGTCTTTAGTTCAAAATTTAGCTTTATCACTTTTATCTCTTTCGCCCAATTTTCAATAAAAGATCTTTAGTTTCTTTGCTTTATTACTCGTTGGGTGGATGAACTCTCCTTTCTCCACTCTCTTGCCCTGTTTACTTTGACTTTGACTTGCTAAATTTTAAATTCTTCAGCGTGTATCATTCTCAAAGAAGTATTTTTAGTGCATTCATATAAAATTACAAATTTTTATGTGTTAACTTTTGGATATTGGATTATATAAGTTTCGTACTAATTATATAATTTTTGTAGAGCTTACGATTATAATTTATACTAAAATTAAATTTAACAATTTGTTTTTTCAATTAAGCTAATATACTTTTTCAAGAGTATATAAAAATATTACACAAAAACAAGACCTCTTATACTTTTTCGAGAATATATCAAGATATTACATTAAAGTTAAATCACGTTGCATGATTCGATGGAAGACTGAAAAAACTTCTAAAAGAATTTGCTTTGATGTCTAGAGAGAAACATAATAGACGACTAATTGAGTTTGTTTGAAATTTTAATTGGATTTAGGCTTTGTTTGATTAGCCATCATTTCTATGGAAAGAATTCCACTTTTCGCATTTTACATTGTTTGATTGGATTTTTTAATCATGGAATTCAATTTCTAAGTTTTCCAACCGCGCGACTAAATCCAAATTTTTGAGGAATTCCAATTCTTCTGGGTTTGGTGAGAATTGGAATTTCAGACAAATTTTTTATTTTTATTTTATAGCAATGGGAACAAATTCTATGTCTAATTGTAAAAAAATATTTTTCTTTAATTAATAATTTCCATGTAAAACAAAGTCAAACGAACATCAAAAGATAGATAATTTTCTTGACTTTTTTTTTTTTTGCAATTGAAATAACATATATCCCCAATATTAGTAAATTTTATCTCTTTAATTGACAATTTTTTATGTAAAACAAAGTCAAACGAATACCAAAAAACACTTTTATTTCAAGATTTTTCACGTGAAAAATTATACCAATCAAATACAATAATTTACAATTCTCAGAATAACAATTTCTAGATAATTCAATTCCCTGGAAATCGTTTTCTTTCTACCCAAATTTCATCTTTGCAATTAAATGGACCCTTACTGTTAAATTATTTTAGTAGTTTTAAAAGCTTGGTAGGGTATTTTAGTTTCTCTTAACCGAGTGTTACATTTTGACTTTAATGGACTCGATTCCTCGGCTTGTTTTGTGGAAACACAGACGAGATGAGATTTGTACTGAATAGAAGTTTGTAAGTTCTATGGGTGCCGATGTGATTTTTTTCTTCTGTTTCGTGTGTTCTGATAAAATATACATCTTATATCTTTTTTATATAGGTTGATTTTTTTTCATACGAATTAAGAAATCTTATTTAATATTATTGAAAAAGTAAGTTTTGTCAAAACTTTCCTAGTTTATCCTTATTTATATTTGTATAATTTCAAGATTAAGTGGAAAAAAAATTGATTATAACTAGGCAAATTAAGAACCTGTTTGGGAGAGATTTTGAGAATTGATTTTTTGACCGTTAGGAGAAAAATGAGGTTCACTTATGAGAGAAGAAGTCAAATATAACGGCTGTAATAGTGAAATTACGGTCAAAAATTCAAATTTTTGGGCCAAAAAATCACT